TTAAAATAAGTAAATTTATATAGAAGTATAATTATATAGAATATATATATAAAATTTACATTTATAAAAAATAATTATTTATAAAATAAAAATTACTTGAAAATAAAATAATAATAATAAATAAATTTTAATAGCGAAAAAAATAATAATATATTATTTTATATAAAAATATATATATTAATATATAATTTTCTAATAAATTGATATAATATATATTATTTATATTATATTAAATTAATAATATAATTAAATAATTATATTTTTTTTATTTTTAAATAAAAATATTAATATTTTTTAAAGATATAATAAAATATATATTATGAAAATTTACTCATTAATAATATACAATAAATATATTAAATTTAAAATAATTATTATTGTTATGTTAATATAGTTATTTATATTCTATATATATATAATATTATTTATATTATCATTATTAAATATATTTTTAATTTATTATTTATATTTAACATATATTAATAATATATTTTAATATTATTATATAATACTTTTATTTTATAATTAAATAATTTTAAATAATTATACAAATTATTTTAATTTTAAATAATAACTATTTGAAATAAAATTTAAAATTAAAAGAAATCTAATAAAAATTAACTAACATCATATATATATTGTTTAATTTATTAATATAAATAATATATAATTTTCAATTACTTTTTAAATATTTCATATAAATATTTAATATATTATTTTTATTAATCTTTTATTTTAAAAATAATATAAATTTAAATAAAAATAATTTTTATTAATATATATTTTTTTATATTAAACTTTTCATTAATTAAATAATAATATTTATAAAATAATATTAATTAAATAATTTTATCAATTTTTCCCTTTAATTTATTTAACTTTAATTTTCCGCAAATATTTATATTTATAAAAATAATAATATAAGCTATTTAAGTTAATTTTATATTTAATTAAGTTTAATTATAATTAATATAAAAATATACTAAATTATATTTTTTTTTTAACTTTTAATATAATAAAAAAAAACCTTAATATATTTATAATGGATTATTATAAAATCATATTATAAATTTAAAGTTTTTTATATTTGATTGGAAAAGTGTAGATATGAATGTTAATTAGTGTATGTAAAAATTTTATAACTTAATATTAAAATATATTTTAGGAAAAAAGTAGAAAAAATTTCAAAGTGCAAAAAACAATATTTATTTTAATTTTTTTGATAATTGCATTAAAATTTTCTATTACTTTTTTTTTATTTTGATATTAAATATTTAGTTTATTTAAAATTAAAAAAAAAAAATTTAAAAATCAAAAAAAAAAAAATTATAAATTAATTTTATATATTTAATTTTTTTTTTTTTACTGAAAAAAAGTATTATATAGAAAATCTAATATAATTTTTTATATATATATGGATAAATATCTTAATTTTAAATATAATTTTTCTCATAATTTTTTTTATACTATTTTATTTTAATTTTTTTCAAAACTTTTTTTTTTTTTTTTTTTTTTTTTAAAAAAAAAAAGTAATTTACTTAAATTTAAGATATAAAATATTCCAAAAATAGTTTTCAAAAAAAAAAATTAAGAAATCATATATAATATTATATACTTATAAAAATTATTTTTATATATTCAATTAAATTTAAATTCTATAAAATCATTTTTATAAATTATAATATATTTAATTTTTTTAACAAATTATTAAATATATATTTATAAATATGCTTGTATAAAACTCTATGTTTATATAATTTCATAATATAAACAAATTTATATAAAAGTAATAAATTAAAACATAATAATATTAATATAAATAATAAGCTATAATAATCTCAATATTAATTTAATATTCATTAACCATCTTAACACATTTTTAATTTCGCTTATTCTTAAAAAAAAAAAAAAAGTTACAAATGAAAATAAAATAATTATATATATAAAAGAAACCTCTTCTCAAATAAAATTGCTCTAAAGCCTATTGTCTCAAAACCGGATTTTCCCTATCATAATCAGTATCAAAATACAAAATATTATCACTATATTTAAGCGTTTCATTTTCCGCTTTAACAGGAAAAATAAAATCATTTATTTTTTACATAGGTAATAAAACTATAACAGCCGAAACTACAAAAAAAACTATATTCAGAACATTTAGTTCATTAAAAAGTCTATTTTTAAAAAAGAAATTTCCAAACTATTTTTTTTTTTTTAAGAAAAAATAAAAATAAATAGTACATATATATTAATAATACAGTATGGAAAACAATACAATATTCCAATAAATTAATCATTTCCATAGTCAATTATTTCCCAATACTTTCCTTTACCGTCCTTCTAAAAATAAGATTATATTTATCCGTAAAATAATACAAGAAAACACCCACAATCGACCACACAGTTCCCTAAGGAATAACCGGGCTAAAAAAGAATGTAAACCACATAGTTTTCATTACATCGGCATATCTTTTTCCCATAGTATAATCTGGGAATTCCATTAAAAGATTAGCTTCAAGTTATGTAAGACTAGATTAATTTCCCTTTCTAACTTCTTTTTTTCTTTTATAGTTTTTTAAAATACTCCAGGGATCAATAATCCATGCTAATGCGGGTATAAAGGCATTTAAAATGAATACATAATACTCACTATATATCATACCGCCCCCAATTCCATAATAATTATTAAAAAAAATAATTTCAACAATAAAAGTAATTAAAGCTGTATTATTAAAAAGTGCTAGAGAAAGCTTTCTTGCATAGCTAATATTAAGTTTAGTCTTAGTAGACCATTTTTCACAGTCAACTATATGATGAACAATATATGGTAAAAAAAATTTATTGTAAAAGACAATAATAAAGGATATCATATAATTCAAAAACTATATAACCTTAATTTTTTAATTATTTTCTAAATCTTCATGATTACCTAAACTCTCTTAATAAGCATGATCAATTAAATATGCCTACGCATATGCAATTAAAGAAATAACAGAAAAACTAGAAAGCATTAAAATTATTTATTTGATAAGTGATAGAAATCTACATTTAACTTTTTCGGAAGTTTCAACATTTATAAATTCCCAATCAATATCATTCGGTTCTGGAGCTTATTATATATATAAATGACGGTCTATATAATATATTGAATCACTATATTGTTTAGATAAACCTCCTTTAAAGAAATTTAATAGTCTTTATTTATAATTAATTTTATTTTTTTCTAATACTTCATCTTTTTCTTAAATTAAAAAATATATTTAAGTAAATAAATAAATATATATAAATATAAAAAAATATGTTTATAAATATATATATATATATATATATATATATATATAATTTATATATAATTTATATATTTATATTAATACCTTATTCAGTTTCGAAACTAATAATAGCGATGCCTTAAAAATTATTTGAATTATGTTATATTTTCTTTTATAAATTTATAATATTATGTTCTATTTATTCAATTTCATTATCTAATTTTTAAATTTCTTTACATTTCAATTCAAAATTTTTTCTTAGTATTTTTTATTTTTCCTTTACTTTCTTCTGTATGTTTTTTTCCATTTCTTCTAACTCCTTTATATTATATACTAAAACGACTTTTTGTACATTCAATGTTTTACCTATAACAGCCTTAAGACTGAATAAATTTTTCAAAACCTCCTTTACTTTTGGTATATTTTTGGGAATATTACTTACCATAATCGAAAAATCAGCAGGAGTAATATTATTTTCATCAACTTAAGCCTCTAGCTTATTCTATTCTTTCCTAAATATAATACTTAATATAATTTAAATAAGCATAGCACCAATGGAAAAATAAACACCTAAGTTTTAATCTTAAGGCTTCCCAATTAAATTAGCTATAGAAAATTATACAATAAAATTTGAAGCACACGGAGTTATAAAATTAGATAAATGTTTTTTCTTTTTGTTAAATAAATATATATATATATTATATATATATAATATATATATATATATATCATTTATATTTATATTTATTTTTTAAATAAATAAATAATTACATGTGCTTCTTCTATTTTTTCATATGCTTCTTATAATGTATCATGACAAAAATTACCTCTTCCATTTATTATCATATTTGGAATTCCTTAAACTAAAAGTAAAGATAAAAGCATTATTATACAGTATTTTAAGTAGTTATAAAATAAAGGGAATCCAGCTCCTAAAAAACCAAGTTCTTTTTAATTTATCATTAAACTTATTTTTGTTCTATTCTTTATTATATTTTTATTGTTTTTAATTATTGAAATATTTATTACTAATTCATATCCACAGCATTAGCATATTTCTTATACATTTTGACCTCCATTTTCTGGTTTTGTTTCTCTTGATTTCTTTTTTTTTTTTTTAAATAATATTTTTTTTTATAAACGGCATGTATTTTAGCTAATTCCCAATCTGGAGGAATTTTTAAAAAATCATATGATTCTTTTAAATTTTTTTAATATTATTGTTTTATTTTTTTATTTTAAATATAAAAAATAAAAAAAAACAAAATACTATAATTGTTTAATATTTGTGTTTCAATGTTTCTTAATTGGTGTTTTTTTTTTTTTAAAGCTTATTTTAGGGCTTAATTGATTTGATACTAAGTTTATTAAATTTATTGAGTCTAGTTTGGCAAAAAAGTTTAATGTTTATTTATAGTTTGTTCATTTAAATTTGATTGATTTTAAATATCATTTTATTTTGTAACAATCATTTTTTTTAATTAAAAAACATAAAATAAATTATAATATAAAAATAAAAATTTATAAAATAACTAATTTATTAATAGAAAATAAAAAATTAAAAAAAATTCAAATAATAAATAAACAAATAAAAGTATTAAAATAAATAAAAAATATGTAATTTTCTTTTGTAGATATATTAAAATATAAAATCCATACAAAAAAATGCACATATTTATTTACGAAAAGGATATTTATTTAAATAACTAATTATTTTTTCAAAATATACAAAATTAATTAATTTATAAAGTATATTGCTTATATTTAAAAACACTATTGTTAATATATATCTTTTATTGTCTACCATATCATACTATGATGGATAAAATTTATCCTATTTGAATTCTAAAATTAAGCGTTTTAAAGCTCCTTTGTACTTCTGCTGAAAAACACTTGGTAAGTCTAAGTATCGAAAGCCTTTAATATTTATTTTTTTATAAATTTTTATTTTCATTTTTGTATTAAATTATTTATAAATGTATTTTAAAAATTATTAAATATATATAAAATTTAAATTAATTATAAAAAATTATACTTCTTTAAATATTATATAAAGTTTATAAAAAAAAAGGCTTTCAAAAATAGGACTGACTGAAAGAAACTGAATAAACATTAGTACAAAACTAGATTTAAGAATAGTAATATAAAAATTATATCAAATTAGACAAACCGAAAAAAAAATTCTATAAATAATAAAATAATATATATATATATATATATTATATTATATTATATATATATTATATTTATATTTTTTTATATTTTTTTTTACGTTTAAATACAAATTATCATATTTAATATATATGTTAATAATATTTTTTTATTTTTCATTAATTTTTAGCCTAAATTTTAAAATATATTAAAAATATAAATACAAAATTGACATTTATTAATTTTATATTGTCTTTTAAAATATAATTATTTATTTATCTTTTAAAATATTTTTATTCATAATGTCATTTATTTTATAATAATTATTATAATAAATAAGAACTAGAATAATATAATATCAAAATAAATAATATTAAAAATTTATCAAATACATATAAATATATTATTAATTAATACTTATATTTTATTCAAAATAAAAAAAATAATTTTATATTTCCAATATAATTTATACAAAATTTTAGAAAATAAATAAATAAATTATATCCTATATATTTTTACTTTATTTTTTTATTTTATTATACATTTATAAAAATTATAATCATTTATTATTTAAATATTTTTTTTTAAAAAAAATGCGGTTATTCTTTATATTAGAAGATAAATATTTAAATTAGTATAAAAAAAGGAAGCTTAATTTTATGAAAAATAAAAAGCCTTTTAAAAAATTATTTTTATCTTAAATAAAATATAAATAATTATAAAAAAAAAAAAAATATAATACATTATAATTTGATAAAAAAAATATAAATAAATTGGATTTTAATAATAATATAAATATCTAATTTTATAATAAATATAAATTTATAATAAATAAATAAATTGAAAAAGATATTCTATTTATTAGAAAAATATATTATATATAATTTTTAATAAATACTTAGTGTCAGTTTATAATTTAATAAAATAATACTCAAATATATATGAAATATATTTTGTTTTCAGTTTCAGGCATAAAGAAATATAATCTCATTGAAAATCCTAAGTAAATAATATTATGGCTCGGAAAGTAATAAGATGTGCACAGATAGGGAAGTCTGAGAAACGAATGCATATTATTTTTAAAAAATATTATGATATATAACAGTTTTTTAATTATAAATTTATTTAATAAAAAAAAATCATTTCTATTAAATAAATAGATACATATAAATATAAAAAATTATATATTATAATTATTATTTAAATTAAAAAAGAAATTAAATATGATTTTTTATTTTTTATAATATTAAATATTAATAAATTAATTTTTTTTCAATTTTATTTTTTTAAAAAAAATAATATATAAATATTTAGAAATATAATAAAAAAATATATTATAATAATATTAAAAAATTTATTTTAAAATAGAAAATATTTTCAATTTAATAATAATAAAATATATAAAGAAAAAATATAAAAAAAAGAGGAAAAAAAATAATAATTATAATTATAAATATAAATATATATATATATATATATATATATATATATATAATTTTTTTTATAATGTATTTATCTAATTTTATATAGCTTATATAATATATTTTTATATAATTATATCAATAAATATTTAAAGATTTATTTAGCAATTAACTTATTATTATTATATTAATGTAAACAGTTTAATTAATCTAACAAAAAATAAAAAAAAAAGATATTAATTGCTGTCGACACTCGGACTTCCCAAGCGGTCCCCCACCTTAGTACTAACCGAGCCTTAAGACGCTTAACTTCGGAGTTCGAATGGGATCCGGTGTGTTCATCTTAGTATGGCCGACAACAAAATATATTCAATAGAATGAATATATATACATATGATATTGCAAATAAATTTTTTAGATAAAAATCTTTTTAGAAATAATTTATAAATAAAAATATTTATATATTATAAATATTTTTTTATTTAAATATATAAATACTCTAAATATTTATATTATTAATATATAAGTAATTTAAATAAATAAAAATATAATTATTATTATTTTTACTTTATTAATATTTTATGTATAATAATTATTATTTTTTTAAAAATAATTTAGTATTTAAATATATTCATTTGTTTTAATTTAAAAAAAAAAAAAATATATTGGAAATTATTTTAAATTAAAAAAAATTACCTAAAATTAATACATAAATTACAAAATATTTATATACATGTATATATAATATATATATATTTTTTTTATAAATTTCTTTATAAAATATATATAATATATTATAATTTTTTCCTATTAGCAGCAACTAAATATAAAAAAAATTCTAATTATAACATATAACTGAAATATATATTAACATTTAATATAAATAATTTTTTTCCAAGCACCGTTTATGATTTTTTTTTTCAAATTAAATACTTTCATATTAACAAATTAAATATAGATATATACTTAAAATTATAATTATTATAATATATATATATTTGAATTAGTAAAAAAAATGTAAAAAATCTAAAATTTCTATATAAATTTAGTGAAAAAACTATAAAAAAAAAAATTAATAATTATAATATTTTTTAAATTGATTTTTTTACTTTTTTATTTAATTTTGAATATTTTGTAAAAAAGTAAAAAAAAAAAATTAAATTTTTGTTCATTTATGGAAATATAATTTTAAATATTTTTATTTATATAAATATGGTTTTTTTTTTACTTAATTATCATTTAAAATAAAATTATCAATAATTAAAAATTATCATATTATTAAAATTTATAAAATTTTTTCCTTTATATATTATAAACATATTTTTAAAAAATTTCTGTATTTGGAATTTTAATATATATAATAATCACCTTTGAAAAAAATAATTATGAAGAATAATATTCATATTTTTTAAAAATATGATTTACTAAATGTATAATTTTTAAAATAATAATATTTATAAATTGAATATGTTTTAATAAATTATATACAATAATACTTATAAAAAAGACACGAATATATATTCATAATAAAATATTAAATATAAAAAGAAATATATCAAACATAAAAAAAAGGAATTATAATATATATAATAATCACCTTTGAAAAATAATTATGAAGAATAATCTATCATATTAAAAATATGATTTACTAAATGTATAATTTTTAAAATAATAATATTTATAAATTGAATATGTTTTAATAAATTATATACAATAATACTTATAAGACACGAATATATATTCATAATAAAATATTAAATATAAAAAGAAATATATCAAACATAAAAAAAAAAATTATAATACATACATTATGTCGATTATTTTTTAAAAAAAGAATAAGATGATATCTATAATATTAAAATAAAAAAAATTAATAAATAAATACTAAAATAAAATAATCAAAAAATTATAAAAAAATAAAAATAATTAATATTCATTTATAATATTTGAAATGATATTATAATAATAAAAAATTGTGATAAAATATTTTTTTCCCCATTTGTAAAAAAAAAAGAGAAAAAGCATTATTTATTAATAAAAAAAAATATTAAAATAATAATATTTGATTTATAAAACTATAAATAAAGTATTTTATTTTATTTTTTTTTTAAAAAAAAAAAAAAAACTAAATCTGTTGTTTTAGTTATTTATTATATATATATATATATATATATATATATATATATATATATT